AAATACACTCACAACCTTGACATTGTGTGTTAATTGTCAAGTAATGGCAAGTTCAGACTTCTTTGGATTTTCTCCTCGGTTCATACCGTAAGGAGATACAAATGAATGGAAAATTATAAATGGGCAGGAAGGAGTAACATTGGTACAACAATTCTGCTGCTTAATATGACAACTGCGGCTGTATGTTTCGTGAAGATATACTTTCAAATCCTCGGCGTTGTTTCTGGAAATACGGATGAAGACCGTGGACTCCCTCCAAATATACGGGTGTCTGCATTTCAATCAAGCGCGACACCTACACATACGGATCATCCATTCAGAATATTGGAAGATGAATCTGTCTGGCCAGAAACCACAAGAAAAACCAGAGAAAATAAAAGCCCTGAAGTTTCTACATTAACTCATTGCTGTCATTGGACCGCCTAAACTGTTCCGAGGGCCAAAGAACGAAATCAGAAACAAAGTGGTCTGGAGAAACAAAGAACCACTTACTGCTCTGCGGAAAGCAAACATCTCTTCTTGACCAGATAGCATGGATATTATACCAGTTGGGGCACCTCCTGAACTAACATTACCTTCTGCTAAAACATCGCGACGAAGCTTTGAACCTTCTGTCTCTGTTTCAAACTGGAAACTGAAAGCAAGAAAGTACACATGTTGAGACTGAAATATTGACAACCATAACAATACTAAAAGAACCATTCAATCAGAATTGCTTGTACTATTAAGCAAATGTATCTCCTTAAGCCCTTGACAGTACAAGAATTCATGAATGTATCCAAGTCAATTAATATTTCCTGCACGTTGCACTCTTAAAACTGAGCTGATATTTTGATGACACTTTCCCCAACCGCTGATAAATTTGCACAAATGCAATAAATTGTGTGTGCAAACAGGAGAAAGTAATTTTTACATGCATCTACTTGAGGATATGCAAAACCTATCTGAGAGTATCGGGCAAGTATCGTATCCGATCAAGTATCGGATATGGGATACGGGACCAAACAGAAGTATCTGTGCATCATAGTGCAAAACATATGCGAAAGGAATACAAGTCAGAAACAAAGCAATGAGCGGTAAGTCCTGACCCAGAATGATGAATCTCAAAGCCCTGAGATTTCTTGATATAAAATTAGTAAGAAATGAACAAAAACGGACACTCACCTCTCCAGATCAAAAAGAGTGCCCTCTTCAGTTCCTTGAAATAATTCATCAATAGAAGATGCTGCAGAACAAAATAGACGGCAATGATGATTGTATAATTCATCAATGAGGGTAATAAACCGTCGTGCCTGAAAAATTGGAAGAAAAAAAATACTTTAGTTTATGTCAAATGTATACTCATTTGAACTAAAATTAAATGTGAGATATAGTTTTTGAGACATTTGGATGTTTGGATTTATCTCGTACATTACATATGCATGCATGTCAATCCAGTTATCATTGACAGGATTGGGACATGATGACTACTTAATGCTTTCATTTTCTGTTTCTTTTTTTCAAGCATTAACCTGAATAACTGCAGATATATGTTCAAAGCGGTGGAAAGTTCCCCCCGACTCACATTACCAGATATAACTAAACCCACTTTGCATACAATGTTTTAGTCCTTATTGTCCGATGAAGCTTAACCAACTTATGTGGAACCCGAACATGAAACATGCCAAACAAAAAACTAGAGAAGTTGAGTAGTACCTTATCACGGATACGCATACTCATCATTGGAATGTCAGATATAAATATAGTGTGATAATTTTCTGCAACTGCAATATAATCAGCTGCACCTACCTAAATTCAATAACAAAAGCAGAGAGAAAATATAAAACAATCATCGGATATAGAAAATGGATGTAAGATATAACATAAAAATCGCAAACACAGACAAAGGCAAGAGTAATACCGGCCGACCACAGAGATAATCAAATGTGAACCGTGCCACTCCATTAGAGCATTCGGGAACCTCCAGTGTTCTGATTTAGGAACCAGGTGTCTTTAATTACATAATGGATTATGACAAATAAATTGTTATTTCAAAATTTAGAAGTACCTCCCGAACATCACTCGAATAGTATCCGAGGCGATCTGTCCCCCTATTTGGTTTGTGACTTCATGCCACTTCTTCTCAAATTTCTCCATAGCAATGCTGTCTGAGGGCCAGAAGTATTGAACCTGTATGTTTAAGATGGTAAAGTTTTACACGACAGTATTTTCTATATGCCATTTCAAACTACTAGATAGAAACAGCTACTCCAAAATGCAAAGAGTAGGAACTCCGCTTCTATAATTTACAAAAACAAGATACAGAATTGTGAATAGACTGATGAGTCAGTGAAGCATGACCATCAAATACATGACGAACAACTAAAGATTGACCGGAAAATAGCCATGACCTACAGCACTCATATATGAAGCTGTTGTCGACGAGTGCAACGAAATAGAAGTAATATTTCACATGTATTTGCCAAAAAAGAAAATGCTTCATGCTTACCTGGTCTGCAGATCTTTGACTTTGAGCTATAACACGACGATAATCAATCTCACTTCCAATGAGAACAGTCTCACAGTGCTCGTTCAGTTTGCGAACAAACTTTTGGAAGATCTCCCGCTGCATACCATCCTGCATAAGAAATTTTTGTTTCAAAAGAAAAAGGTAGAGAAATGTTGGTCCAAGAAAAAAGGATGAAAACTTCTTATCAACATAACAATCAAGTTGCTAAATAATTCAAAGATCGTTGACAAAGTATTGATTTAAGGCCATCTTCATCACTCCTTACCCATGAAGTTACATGAATAGGCACAATGCCAAAGGATTATCGAGAGAAATAAATTGGCAGGGAATATGGATGGTTTATCACAGTATTAAAAAAGCACACATGTGCACCTGATTTAAGTCTGTTGGCGCTCGATTACTGGTGGCAACAAAAACAGTTCCGGTACTTAACAATCTGCTAACAATTCCAGATAAGGCCACAATAGCAAATACATCAACAGTCTGAAATAGAAAGAAAGAAATTCCAAGTCACAAGATGAGCAGCAGAACATTTAAGCTAGGTTTTCCCCCAACATGTTGTAGAAAATACAGAACCATTATCGATACATGAATGCCGAGTTGATCCTATTTAAGTGTAACTTAACAAGTTTAATTCAACCTTCCGATTAGAAAAAAATGATCTCAAACTGCAATAAACAATAAATAAAGGACAAAACAAAAAGACCTAAAAACGTTAAATCTTGACTGACTGATCCATTAGAAATTTTACGATCATTTTGGTAAGGCATCATAGGCTGCATATAAGCTATGGACTAGGATCCTTCAAGCTTGATTTGAGACAGCAAATACTAGCTCTATTTAATTGGTAATAGGTTACAAGTCATACATGTGTCCCCGATTAAATCAGTTAGCCCACATTAATCTGACCTGTATTTCGTCAAAACAGAGAATGCTACCACCCTTTTGATTTGCCTGCCGGTCTATGAGCAGCTTATCTGCTACAGCTGGAAGGATGTTTTTCATCTGAACCTCTTGCTTATATCTCTCTTCTGCAGCGACCCACTCCTTCACCCTTGAATCAAAGGGAAGATTCATTACCCAATTGGAAAGGCTTGAATGCAAAGACTTTTCCTCCACTTGGCCTTTCCAAATCTGGTGCATTTGTTCGTTAATCTTTAACATTGCCTGCAAGTAAAGATGTTAAACGATTAACTTGCATTCTCATGGCCAACTTGGAAAGAAGATGATCCACATATTTCAAGGACGTACGGTTCAAATAAAATGGGTATGATCAGTTAATGTCATCCAAAATTTGTCGAATCACACTCAAAAGCTCACCTCATGAAAGTGATATCTCTTTCGATGCTTAACTATTCCTTCAGTGGCACTAAAAAACATGTCCATAAGCATCGTCTTTCCTGAATAGAAGTACCGAATTTCGATTCAAGCTGGCACACATTTGCTTTACAGATAATACACATATACAAAAAACATAGCAACATACCACTTCCAACATTGCCGTAAATATACAGTCCCTTGGGAGCCGAAGGAGCAGTTGGGCGACGACCAACGCGTGAATCTAACTTCCTCTCTCGATTAAGATACGAAACCCATTTCCCCACTCCGGGTTCTGCTTTATCAGGTTTCTTCCTAAGCCGAACAGAATCACAACATTGACATTCAGAAAACAGTAAAAAGAAACCGAAAATCTCTAAGCTTTTTCGACAAGCAATGGTATGCCTACGCCTTACCGGGACAGCCATCTCTGCACAAACTTATTGCGCTGGTTGGTGACTGATGTCCATACATCATCTTTCTGCTGGCTCTCAGCTTCCTCCATTAACAGCTTCCGCCGCTCGTCCTCTCTCCGCCTCTCCCAAATCGCAAGCTTTTCCTGCAAAATGTGAATAAAATTTCAAAATTCTCCGACCAATTCTCAAATCTCCAACTTTTAATTCAAATGTAGGAGCTGAAAATTAACGATTTTTTCACATGATAATCCTCCATTTCTCTCTCGTACTGCTCCAATCTCCCGAGCAACTCCTCCAATTGAAACGCCACCGTCTCTTGCTTCGGATCATGCTGCAGCTTCCCTTCCTCGACCAGGTTCTTGTACTGCGTTAGTGGCCCTGAAAGCACAAGGATTCCAGTTGAATTTCTAGAGGGAGAAATTCGAATTGAAATTCTAGAGAGAGATAGAGAGGGGAACCTGGACCTGGAGGCTTAATAGAGGAAGGTTGGGCTCGATCACAGTGAAAACGCACCGCATTGAAGCACCGGAGCTTGGAGGTTGTTTGGCCTCGAACAAACCCTAGAAACAAACGCGCTGAGATCGACGACGCTTTTCTCATTCTTCCACCCAGCTACTTGGATTGGAATTATCAAACTCCGGAGTGGCGTTATTGATTTCTCACAAACTGTAAACGAAACATAAGCGTACCAGTAAGTCGAGAGGTAGACGACGACGTGACGTGGCCACAAATTCCACCAGCCACGTGGAAAAGCGGAAAGTGCGAGAGGATCCCGAACGACAAGGACTCCGTTGTCGTTTTGTTAAATCCTGCTTTTGCTTTTATGTTTTTGATTTACCGTTAACCGTTGGGAGCTTTTGAAATGCAAAGGCTCGTCAAGACCGCCAGTTTTGCCGCCAACAGAAGAGAAGCAGAGCAGAGCTGCTTGGCGCTCCTCCAAGCGTGCGACGCCGTTTCAAAGCTCTCCCAGATCCACGCCCACATTTTGAAGTCGGGGCTCCGAAACAATCCGCTAGTTCTCACCAAGTTCGCCTCCACGGCCTCCGACCTTAAAGCCATCGACTACGCCTCCTCCTTCCTCTTCTCCGGCGATGCCGATACGCATCTTTACGATTCGTTCCTCTTCAATACTGTAATTAGAGCTTACGCGCAGACCAGCCATGAAAAGCATAAAGCATTGTGCTTTTACAATGTTATGGTTCAAGGTTCTGTTTTGCCTAATAAATTTACCTACCCTTTTGTCCTCAAGGCCTGTGCTGGAATTGGGGACTTGAATTTGGGGAAGTCGGTTCATGGGTCGGTGGTGAAATTCGGGTTCGATGACGATGTTCATGTTTGTAACACTATGGTTCATATGTATTGTTGTTGTGGAGGAGGGATTGAGTTTGCCCGGAAGGTATTTGATGAAATGCCCAAGTTGGACTCTGTTTCATGGAGCGCGATGATTGGCGGGTATGTGCGTGTGGGGTGGTCGACGGATTCAGTTGAGTTGTTTAGGGAAATGCAGATGGCGGGAGTTCAGCCGGATGAGATAACTATGGTCTCCGTTCTGTCTGCATGTTCGGATTTAGGTGCACTTGAGCTTGGGAAGTGGGTTGAGTCTTACATTGAGAAAGAAGGGATTCATAGATCTGTGGAGCTTTGTAATGCGCTCATCGACATGTTTGCGAAGTGCGGGAATGTGGATAAAGCTTTGAAATTGTTTAGAAACATGAGTGGGAGAACAATTGTTTCTTGGACTTCTGTGATTGATGGTCTGGCAATGCACGGCCGTGGAATGGAAGCCATTGCTTTGTTCGAGGAAATGATTGGGACTGGGGTAGCACCTGATGATGTTGCTTTCTTAGGGTTGCTTTCTGCGTGTAGTCATTCCGGGCTAGTTGAAAGGGGTAAGAGGTACTTCGGTTCAATGGAAGAAAAGTTTCAAATTGTACCTAAGATAGAACACTATGGATGCATGGTGGATATGTTTTGCAGGGCTGGACATGTCAAAGAAGCATCGGCGTTTATCCAAAAGATGCCGATTGAGCCAAACCCTATAGTCATGCGTACCCTGATTAGTGCTTGTCGTGCACACGGTGAACTCAAGCTTGGAGAGAGTATCACCAAGCAGTTAATCAGGAGTGAACCTATGCAGGAGTCAAACTATGTCCTGCTTTCCAACATTTATGCAAAAATGAACCATTGGGACAAGAAAACCAAGATTAGAGAGGCGATGGACAAGAAGGGGATGAAAAAGATCCCTGGGAGCACTATGATCGAGCTAGACCATGAAATTTACGAATTTGTGGCTGGAGATAAATCGCATAGACAATCCAAAGAGATTTACGAGATGGTAGAGGAGATGGGGAGGAAGATGAAGAAAGCTGGATACGTGCCCACTACATCAGAGGTCTTGCTAGATATCGATGAAGAAGATAAAGAGGATGCTTTGAATAGGCATAGTGAAAAGTTAGCCATTGCTTTTGCCCTCCTGAATACGCCTCCGGGAACACCTATTCGAATAGTGAAGAACTTACGAGTTTGCGATGATTGCCACTCTGCTACTAAGTTCATCTCTAATGTTTATAATCGAGAAATAGTGGTGAGGGATAGAAACAGGTTTCACCATTTCAAGGATGGTATGTGTTCTTGTAGAGATTTCTGGTGACAAGCATATCAGAAATGGTTCCAAATGGGAGCTTATAAGCATATTTTACAATGAAAATTCCTTACAAAGAATGGCCCCAAAATTGATCACAGCCACAAAACAACTTGCTGTCGGTATAGCTCATCATTTTGCTATTAAGTGAAGTTTTAACATCTAATTAGCTGTAAGGGATTGTTTTGTTTATTTTATGTACTATTGGATCACCTTTTGCTTTACTAAAATGCTAATGCATAAAATCAAGCTCCGAGTGACTTAATTTTTAAAACTTGTTTATCTTTTATGTTTGGAAATCTAAGCCTTTTTCTGGACAGAGCTCACCATTGTGGTATGTATTATTGAGAGAACTTGTACTACAACTAGCGGAGGAGCATGCAATCTGCATTCAGCTTTTCTAGTCATAGCAGGTGCGAATCCATCTCCTCGATTTTTTTTTCTTCTTTTATTTATTTTAAATCATAATCGCTTGTTTTGTTTTATGTTTCCACATATCCATTGCTTGAAACTTTTAGTCTCACATGTTTGGTGGTTATATGTTTTGATTGACGAATACGATCTAGGGATATGGATGTATACGACCAGATGTGAATCTCAAACTATTAAGAAACAGTCTCCTTCTTGCCTACCAAAAAAATAAGGGAAGTGATTTCACCCTGTTTGTCCCGCTGATTATTTCTCGTGCAGAAGAAAAAAAGTAATATGAGGAAATCATTTACCTAAAATTAAAAACGTCTATAAATTTTCACATATGGTTATGCTGAAGACATTTACTGCTCATAACTCATGGCAAGGCCTCTAGAGTTAGCCGTTGGATTGAAATGCGGTGGTTTCAAATTCTTTTCTTTTTTGGTAATTGTTTATTTACTTATTTTTTTAGTTTTCGGTCATATCAAATCTTGGAATGTAATGAACGAAAGATAGTTTGTTGACCGTAAGTGAACAGTGATCAGCTGTAATCATCCTTGTGGTCGTAGCACATGTTGGAATGTAATGATCGAAAGATAGTTTTCGATCATATTTTATGCGGTGGTCATATCAAATCTTGTAATCATCCTCACTATCATGCAAACCGTGTGCTCTGTCATTTCTATTACTTAATCAATCAGCAGTCAGTCTCTCCTTCTCTGTGTCTAGTCTTGTTTCGTTTTGATCAACTCTCTCTGTCTAGTCTTTGAGAGAGCAATCTGTATTGAGACACCGAGTAATTTGTGTATGTACCCGCGTACGTACATAGAAGTACACGCGTATCATACGTCGAAGAGTAATAGCTCTTTAATTTTTCTGTGAAAGTTGGCTGTGTGTATTGAGTGAACATTTGAAGTAATAATTCCACTGCTTGTTTTGTTGGTTTCATTCTTTTCTGTACTGGATTACTTCACGCGTTTTCGACGAGGAAATCTTGAGGTTGCATATTAGAACTTATTAATGTTCGATTCGCATCATTAAGCTCGATAAAAGTGTTGAAGGAGATCGAGCTTAGAATGGAATGTTGATTCTGTCAATATTGTAAATGACTTTTTTCCTTATTTGTGAATGATTTAGCTTGATCGTAGGAACCATATTAGGAGGCTTTTGTAACTATAAGTTTGTGCCTCTGCCTCTTGAATGAAATAACAAATCAATTACATATCATTTTCTTACAAAAAGGAATTAGGAAGCTTAAATGGATAAAAATCGGAGACAGATATACTTCGAGGATGATCGTGTTTTCAGCCCAACATTAATCTATACTAACTGAATGAGCAGAGGGTTTGAAAATGGCCACTTTACAATTTTTTTACTATGTCCTTTTTTACACAATTTTTTTATTAACAAGATACGAAACAGGCCCTAAATTGTTGGATGAATTTCGACGAGTATCTCGCCAGTTGGTAGAGAGTTCATCCCATGAGAATTTTGATATGTTCACGTGCATATTATTGTTTGTTTAATATATTGATATCATCGTGTTCTCCTAGACTCCAGTGACCAAGAAAATGGTGGTCACTCACCTTAGATCTTAATGCAACAATGCAGAAAAAACGATAATAAAAAGTTAAATGGAAACCAATTGTTGAATTAAGATTTAACGGTAGACGACCAACAGTTTCTATTGGAGTCTAGGAGAACAAATCTGTACTGACAATATCTTTAGCAAAACCTTGTACAACCATTAGTTGAAGACTCAAAAGTTCATGTAAATTCATAAAACGCACAGCAAAAGTATGCATGCCATTATAATTAGGCTAGCTACAATTAAGTACTGAATCACGATATATATATATATATATATATATATATATATATATATATATATATATATATTAAAAAAGATTAGTTGTAGGGCCCACATCATATCGAATTCTAATGATCTGAATCGTCTATTTTTCAAATTCCTTACAAAATATTAGCCAATAGGAAATATTTGAGACATTTAATTGAATTCAAAGAAAATAGACATGGTTTCGAACTGAATTAAATTTTTGCAAGGATGATCTATGAATCCAGACTTAAAAGATGAACGGTTCGGATTATTGAAGTTTGATATGGAGTGGACTCATTCCCTTAAAAGCCTCCTATATATGTAGTCATTGTATGATTAGTCACAACTTTTTATCATATTCATTGCAAATATTTGATCGCACGACATATTTTATTAGTTTTTGGAGCCGAACTTAACTTGCCATGGGCTACATGTTGCTTGTTGCGAAGCCAAACTTAGTCTGGTTCTTTTAGCCTAATTTTCTTTAGCCTTTTGCTTGGTGACCGATTTTGTCAATTTTAGGACGAAATGTGCCCTATAACTCTTGACCAGAGATGACCTAAGTTTCATTATTGGAGATTAAGACTCTGTAAAAGGTTGTCAATGGAGATAAGCTTGTTGATTTATTAATTAGTGAGATTTACTTATTATGTCGAATAGTTTTATATTTCGATGTCCATAACTGGATGAGGTAGAAAGTGGAAGATGTGTGGATTAGGGTTGTTGGTACCTTGGAGGTAATAAAACTATATCCATTTTGATGACACAAAAGAAGGTGATTGTTCATATCAAATCTTGGTTTGTAATACAAATCAAAGACAATCAATTTGCTAATTGTGAGTGACCAGTGAGCTGGTCTAATGGTGATTATTTTTTTGGAAAACCTTCAAGTAATCTCATTTCTTTCGGTCCTTGCTGGAACTTTAATCACGATATATCACTCATCATTCGAAACTTTACAGAAAATAAAAATAAATAAAAAGGAGTTCGTGTGAGAATGTGATGAGAAAAGAATGAGGCAATCAAACAAGGCCGGGGGAGGAAGCATTAACTTTCATAGGGATGTGACGGTGGAAGATGGAGAGGCTTCAAACTCTCGATTTTTTCTTATTTTAATGTTTCTCCATAACAAGGTAGACCTTAACTCCCGTATCTTCTTTTGCAAATACAATTTTTGATTTAGATATGGCCATAGTTTTGAGCTTCCAAGTAGGGAAGAGCAAGTCAAGAGAGAAGCACCAACTACAATTAGTCCCACATCGACCATCAGTAACCCCACTAAAATTCTAACTAATGCACTTTAAGTTCTTATTAAATAAAAAGAAAATAAACGGAAATAATAAAAACAAATAATTATGTCTCTTCTTAAATTCATTGAATAGCACTCCCATGTCCATTTGATTTCCAAAACCATTGCAGTCTCATCTTCTTGTTGTAACGCATATGCCTTGGTGCAGTTAATTAGCCTCTTGCTCCACTGGAATTACTCTAGACACCCAAAAAGCTCATTTTTCACTTCATTTTTGCATAACTCCAATATTTAATGCCTATAAGTTAAAACAATATAAATTAGTGCATTTAGCCCATTCATATATACAAAATCCAAATGAAGTATATGATAAAAATATATAAAAATATGCACCCATCAAATACCCCCAAACTTAGATTTTGCTTGTCCTCGAGCAAAACAAAAGAAAACACAAAAACTCAACAAAAACAAATTAATAGCTAACTTCCCAAAGTTTAATATTTAAGATAACACCAACCGTGACATAACTTTCAAGAAAGAAACAACAGTAGTTCAAGACATTATCCAAGAGCCAACCAAATTTGAATCAAACCAACTTGGAGTGTAGTGTGTGTAATAGCCATGCACTAATAGAAAAACATGTTTGTGTGACAGAACCTTGCGCGATGGAGCAAATTTCGTCACGCAAAGTATGTTTGCGCGACCCAAAACACAAAACGTCGTGCAAATAGCCTTTGCACAATGACACTTTGTGCGACAGAGGCTAGCGTCTAGCAAAACAGTTTTGCACAACGCATCTATTCTTATGTCACGCAAAGCTGTTTTGCGCAACGCCAGCCTTCGTCGCACAAAGTATCGTTGCGCAAAGGCCTTTTGCGTGAAGTTTTGTGAGTCACGCAAGATCTTGGCACCAAACAAAGAATGCTTTACCGCTTTTTTGCCAACTTTGCGCGACACAGGTGCACTTGCGTCACACAAAACAGCTTTGCATGACGTAGGTGCACCTGCGTCATTCAAAGTTGTTTTGTACGATGCCAATCTTCGTCATGCAAAGTCAACGACTTTTTCTGCTCTACGTAATCAGTTTGGGAGGCAGAAACTGCAAATCCAGTTGCAGCAGCTACCTCCCTCCCCCATCTCTCTTCAAAACGTTCTCCAATCCCTCCCTTGCTCATAAATTCAACATACAAATATTTGATCTCTTTTCATCATGCAATCCCTCCCTTTCTATATGATGGTCTTTGATTTGGAGTAAGCAGATCTAATTTAGCTCTTGAGAATTGAATTTTTTTTTTTGAGAAACGTGAATTGAATGCTTTTGATGGCTTATATATATGAAGTTTCAATCATTTGTTTTGAATGTTTATTGTATAACAGTATAGAATTAGTTGAAGCTTTGTCCCTACAAGGTTGCAGAATTATTTTCTTTGGGTAATTCTCATAATGAATTTGTACACAACTGCAGGTGAAGGTGCCAACATGATCTTAAAATCTACAATTCTGATGAGCGCCATGTGCAGGTACAGCCTCATTAGTGCTCAAGGGTTTATATATTTTTTGTATATTGCTCCTTTTTCTTCTTGTCTTATTTGATCTCTATTTAAATGAAGTAAATTGCCTTATTGTTATCATCACTAGCCCCTTAAATTTTCATCATTTATAAGTTACATTATGTACAAGATATCTGTTTATAGATGTCTGCAGCTGCTTTTGCTAAGGGCCTACTTGATCTCAAATGGCAGCTAACACCAATCCTGGTTTGTGGTTTTTTTTTTTATCAAGATTTTGTGGTATTCACTTGTGTAAAATTTTTAAATTGACTATCGAATTAATTCGTTGTATTCATATAGGGTCAAGGAGTGTAGCTGTAAAAAATCATCAAAATCAAAGTTAAAATAACCGTTAAATCGTGATTTTTCGTTTACAACCGTCGAAAAGTTTTGTCTTGTTACTTGATCTCTGAATGTTTGTTTTTGCGATTTTTGGCATATGCGATCTCGAAGCATATACAAACAAGTTTGATGGTTGGATCGTTGAAACTAGTTTCGTACAATGCGTATCCCGTCAAAACAGTAGATTTACTATCACTTGGAGTTTATTTATACTTTCATTAAATATAACATAAGATTTTGTGGTATGCTTCAAGGTCCTGTTCTCGAATTTACTTCCAGCTACTCAAGTATTTCAAAAAGTCGAGTGGACGAAGAGAAACCCTAATCCTAAGGATTACAATCTACCGTCATCTTTGGTAATTCCTTTCCATCTCGCGTACATCTCTCTCCCTCCTTGGCATATTCTCTAACTTATCTCAGACCAATCAATTTCTAGGACGTATGATTTGTGTTGGTTTTTGCTTTCAACTGCTAAACTTCATAAGTGGTAATTAAATAATTATATGCTTTCATTTGCATTTTACGTGTTTTTGATTATTTTTCTGTGTTCTGGATACGTACTCATTTGGTCATTTACATAATCCTCCATAGACTTGTCTGTGCTGAATTTGTCCCTAACCTGTTCGACGAAATGCCTCAACAGCTTTGATGGAGTTGGATTATTAGGTAATTTATACGAAACTACTACTCCTCTGTTCAGGTCCACCATCTGCTTGACTTAATGCTCTTGCAATTGAAGTTTACTGATCTTTAATCACCACTTTAAAAGACCATGTAAAAGATGATATATTAATGTGCCAAAAGAAAAAGATAGATGTGTTATTTGAATGCAGAGTTGAGTTGGTTGTGGGTTCTGTTGGATTCTTAAGATGGTAATGTTTTACTATTTATGCATGGTGGGGGAGGGGTGGGGGTGTTTCCTCAAGGAGTGATGCATTTCACCCATCGAAAGAACTTAAATGTTGGGTTAGACGAGGCGTGTAAGTATCACATTTATTTTCTTGTAAGTGTCACTTTTATTTTCTCCTAGTCTACAAATCACAAAAAATGTTGTATGTTTGCTCAATTTTCTGGTTGTTCAGGCTCGATTCAACCATAACATAACATAGTGCATTTTCTTGCTAACCATGTATCTGGGATGTGCTATATATTGGTTTTGATTACTTTATCTCTCATTTTTTTTAATTGACTTCACATTTTCTTTTTCATTTTTTTATGCAAAAGAACTGTTCAGTTTGCTATGCCTCCTAAAGCATTTAAGGCCATCGCCCGAAGTTCGTGAGGGCGATGTCGATGGCTCTCGTTTATTTCTGTTTCCAGACTGTAGATCTCTCCATGCTTCCTTCACGAATCATCGTCCCATTATCTATGAGCGTTCCTTTGTATTTTTCCTACTAATCGTAATGATTCTACACGGAAATGCATGTTCCTTCATTACCTTATGCTGCTGTTGAAGACTGTTTATCTATTAGTTAGGCTATGAATAACCAAGTTGCATGCAGTAATCACCTTGGTTGTGTGATTAAAGCTTTCCTTTAGTTCATTTTCCTGTTGAGAGCTTTACGGATCTTGCAATTTAACATTTGCATTTGGATGTGGAAAGACATTCTTTTGTGTTTTTCTTGGTAAATTATGAAACATGAGCATATATGTAGAATTTTTAGTTAAGGCTTAGACCCACAGCCAAGCCTAGAACTTATCATTTCCATTCATCTACATGACTTTGATGAGTGCATCGATTATATTGACGAAGCTACAAGATCTGGTGGTGGTAAATTGGACAAAGAAACTAGAAAACAATCCACCGCCATACTCTTCGACAAAGAAACTTCTCGGGTTTAAAGGAGACAGGCAAGCGAAGATGTAGAAGGCGATCCACCGCCAAACTTGAATTTGTATTGGCACAAGGTAAATTGGCTCCATTTTTCTGCAAAACTAGAAAACAATGGGTAAGTTAAACAAGAGACTCAAGAAAATAACTTGTTATTGAAGAAAAACTAACAATTAACATTAAAGCTAAACCAACTAAAAGATGTTACAATCTAATTAAGTATTAGAATCAAATTCAATCCCCGGCAACGGTGCCAATTATTTTTTTTTGCTAAACAAAAATTTTAGTTTAAAACAATTTTTTTTTCTTGTCTTCGCGATGGGTGTTATAAGGAGATTTCTTCTCTTTGTGATGGATTACTAAAAAAAAAACATCAACAAATTTTCCCATAGGGGGTTGCGGCAAGGGCAAAGACAAGAGGGAAAAAAAAAACTAATTTAACCCGACTAAAATCCTAACTAATGCATTTTAAGTTCTTATTAAATAAAAAGAAAATATACGGAAATAATAAAAACAAATAATTATGTCTCTTCTTAAATTCATTGAATAGCACTCCCATGTCCATTTGATTTCCAAAACCGTTGCAGTCTCATCTTCTTGTTGTAATGCATATGCCTTGATGCAATTAATTAGTCTCTTGCTCCACTAAAATTACTCTAGACACCAAAAAGCTCAATTTTCACTTCATTTTAGCATAACTCCAATATTTAATGCCTATAAATTAAAACAATATAAATTAGTGCATTTAACCCATTCATATATACAAAATCCTAAGGAAGTATATGATAAAAATATATGAAAATATGCACCCATCGATCATCAGCTAAATACATCACTTTATATAACTTGCACAAAGCAGAGGCACTGTTGAGCTTATTAACACAAGATTGTAACCTGAGTGGGGACATCAAAGTGTTGGAATGTTGGTTCGGCCTCAGCGGATCGGGTTTGTCGTGGCTCTATTCTGACCCGCCCGTTCCCAAGCCAGGAGTTGTGCCGTGTATTTTGACCCCGCTTGTGCCGTTCCAAGCCCTGGAGTTGTGCCGTGTATTCTGACCCGCTTGTGCTGTTGTATTCTGACCCGCTTGTGGCGTTCCAAGCCCCGAATTGTTCAGTGTATTCTGACGGCCAGGAGTTGTTGTGCCGTGTATTTTGACCCGCTTGGGCTGTTGTATTCTGACCCGCTTGTGGCGTTCCAAGCCAGGAGTTGTTCAGTGTATTCTGACCGGCCAGGAGACCAGGAGTTGTTGTGTCATGTATTCTGATCCGGCCGTTCCAAGCGTGAAATTGTGTCTTGGAGTTGTGACCCGCTTGTGCTGTTGTATTCTCACAAGTTTTTTACTTCTAAAATAACAGCTTCTCATTACTTTTATGTGATTTTTTTTACTTGACGTGATGAGACTTCGCTCATATTTTCTCAGGTAATTAATACCCTTTTCTGAAACAACCCCATGACAACTTTAGGCTCATCTCGAAAATTACTGGAATTCTGACGGGTGCACGTAAGTTTCTTGCATCTAGAAGATATTAAACGCTTTGACTTGAATTTCCAATTATGTATATAATTCTTATCCTTTGCCAAAGATTTTTAAAAAGTAGTAAAACTTTTTGAGATCGAGAGAGAGAGGAGCCCCAATGCCATTAAATACTGTCATGCCCCTAAACAAATGCATATATTTTCTAACTTTGTTGTGAACATGATGAGGCTCTTGTTCGTGTCAATAGTGTTAAGCTTATTATGTAGAGAACTAAGGCTCGTTTATGGTGATATCAGCACAGCAACGTTTTACGATCCTCCTTACATACGTGAGCAAACAACATATTCTTTTCTCTATATGCTTATACAATGAATATATAAAGATATTTAATATATTATGTTGTCAGAAATTGTGAATTAAAGAACTACATACATATATATATATATATATATATGGATTATAGTTAATATTTTTCAATGCCATATTGTAATTGTGGTGCAGCAACAAAGTGCTTTGGAAGTAGGCAAGACCAGTTCCCTCCGGGGAATCTGTTTGCGGCGGTGAGTGAAGGGTTGTGGGACAATGGTGCTGCGTGTGGAAGGCGGTATAGACTGAGGTGTCTGAGTGGACGCAATCAGCCCTGCAAGGGTGGTGCTACCGTGGACGTGACGGTGGTTGATCTTTGGCGAGATTCAACGGGCCCTTCTACCGTAGCCATGTCAACTGATGCTTTTGCAGTCATCTCACACTCTCCTTCTACAAGAATTAACGTCGAATATGTCCAGTAAATATCTACATAATTTTGCATTCTTTTATAGTTCTACTATTATTTTCCTTATATCTACATATATACTAATATGTCGATCGTTTGATCTACAGGATATGAAATCAACTGAACCAGATATATGATGACCAATTACAGCTGAGAATATCATCAATTATATTGACTTTGTAGTTCATGTTCGACTCAGGTTTATAATGATATGGAAAAGCATTGTAATAATAAGTAATATGATACTACATTTTCAGCTGAGAATATGTTATTTGCTCACGTATGTAAGGAGGATCGTAAGACGTTGCTGTGCTGATATCACCAGAAACGAGCCTTAGTTCTCTGCATAATAAGCTTAACACTATTGACATGAACAAGAGCCTCATCATGTTCCCAACAAAGTTAGAAAATATATGCATTTATTTAGGGGCATGACAGTATTTAATGGCATTGGGGCTCCTCTCTCTCTCTGTCTCTCTCTAGATCTCAAAAGGTTTGACTTCTTTTCAAAAATCTTCGGCAAAGGATAAGAATCTTGTACATAATTGGAAATTCAAGTCAAAGAGTTTAATATCTTATAGATGCAAGAAACGTACGTGTTCCCGTCAGAATTCCAGTAATTTTCGAGATGAGCCTAAAGTTGTCATGGGGTTGTTTCAGAAAAGGGTATTAATTACCTGAGAAAATATGAGCTAATTAAGTGCGAAGTCTCATCACGTCAAGTAAAAAAAATCACATAAAAGTAATGAGAAGCTGTTATTTTAGAAGGAAAAAACGCATGAGAAGTTGAGAAGCCCTTTATAAATTTACATTTTGCTTTTGCGAATGCCGATATTAATCGGTGGAAACGCAAATTGTGGCTGTAAACGCAAATTGCATCATTAATTCGTGATTTTTAACTTTGCCGACCAAAATGCTGTACTTCATGACAAATTGAATATTTTATTTCCTACCTTGGTTGACAAAGCACCGCAAATCAACGTGATAGAATGTTCCTATAAGAATTGCTTAGAAATCAAATGACCAAGCCAGCTAATTAAGGCGGCCTATCAAACTTTCTTTTTTAATTAACAAAATAATATGGGAATTGAATATTATTATATTGTAGTTTAGTTGGTCAAGTATATGAAAAAATATTATTCTTATCATCTATTTATAATATAATTTGTATCATCTATCTAATAGAAATGGAATCCACATAAATTAGTAAGCCCTATCTCTATTTAAAAGATAATACAACTGATAATACAAATAGATTAAATGTAACACTATTCAAAATATCTTACTCATTGAGCCGCCAAACAAATAAATAATGGAGACAAATCATTGTATCCTATTAAATAATTGAGATTAACCTGAAGTCATCATATAAAAACATGGAAAATGTCTTGTCGACTTCGAAAGCAAAGTGGCATAAATTATATAATTCTCTTCCCTTCTTTTTTTCATTCTCTTCCATTTCCTTCTTTTATATTTTTTTTATTTTGTTTTTTTCTTGTTATAAAAAATAAATATAAAATGTTAATATGATTTAACCGTGACAGTTCAAATAAAAAGAGAGAGAAGGAGACGGAAAAAAAGAGGGAGAGAGAAATCCTACTCCATAGTTATCTCACAACTGAGGATCAATCATCTCTTAGATCATCTCTAAAAAAAATGCTAAATCTTAGGTGGAATGTCAACTAATACAACAAATATTGCTCCATTTAGCTAACCTGGAATGGTAGCCAGCGTCAGCCGTCAATTTTGACGCTAACCTCACTTGTACTTCATTATTTTTTTAATTCATGGGGTCCATATTATGCAACAAGATAAAGCTTTAAAAATGATTTTATTGTTTATTTATTTAAAGTGGGCCCTATATGATAGTAAAATAATAACTAACATATCAATTGGAATATAAAGAAATTTGACATCATGTTTCAAAATACCACATCAACCATCAATTAAGAATTTGATAGAAAATATTGATATACCCATTGAAAATGCTCTTAGTAGTCATAAGAATCCTAATAAATAATTTATTTATTTATTAAGTTTCGCATAAACCCTGAGGTCAAAGAGTCAAACATGATACCAACTCAAGAGTGACAAAGCAAAACAAAATTTCTTTTTCTCATCTACTTATAGTTAAATGAAAATAATGTGCAATTGAAAATTGTCCAAATTTCCTCTATAACTATTATTCTTCATTCATCTATCTTTTCATCTTTTATTTATTGGCCATAGAATAATGTTCTTGTGACGGAGCTTTGGACTCTTTCTTTTTTTATGCATATAAGTTCGAGTCACACGCAATGGCAGAGTTAGGAATTTAAGACCATAGGGTCAAAAAAATAGCTTTCAAAAATCTATCATACTTTCATTTATAATTGTCCACGACGTGTTCTCATATTTTGGAAACGTCGCATAATCAATATAATCAAATACCTCTTTCTCAATGTACACAACCAAACTATCATTCAACCATTGATCACCAATCCTATTACGATGTGGATTCTTCACAATTTTCACCACCGAAAAAGCTCTTTCAACTGAAACAAGTGCAACAAGTAAATCAATACAAATTTCACTAGCAAGTACACCAACTTGGGTCACATGTGGGCTCACATGTTCCATGTTGGGTGAGCCAACTTGGGTCAATATTTGTTGGCCATTGTGGCCCACGCAACCAAGATTACAATAGCAACTTTTTGTTGTGGGTGATGTTGCAATGCTGCTACTATAGTGCTATTATAGGGGTAAAAAAAAATTTAAAGGGAAAAGTTCACAAAGTTATTGGGCCAGGGGAGCCCAATGCCCCCGCATTGGCTCCATTAGTGGTCACAAGACGATTCAGTTTGGTGGTTGTATTCTTGAGAGAACAAGTCAAGAGATATATTGCGCACAAATTTTATCAAACTGCACTGGGCTTGAATCTCCTTAAAGAAAGTGAGATACTCATGCCTCAACCTAATTGTCTACGCGCTTCTTAGAAGAAAATTGCAATTTTCTTCTAATTTTCCCAAGATAACCTAAAATGTACCGAATGACGATAACCAAAAAAAATATTTTGTAATTAATGACAACATATTTTCTTTTTTATGTTTTACAGAGACAATTTATAGTTTTAACATTAATCTAAGAGGGTTCAAACTTAGTTGCAATGAATCATTTCAGAACCAATGTCCTTGTTTCGTTAGTTTATTTGTTTTGTTGAAGATTTGTATGACACTGTGTTGTAATTGTCACTCCAAAAATGTCATACGCACCGTTCCCCTTCATGTACAAACTCTCTCCTCATACAATTATGTCAAAATTGGCACCAAACAGAATATCCTATAATTAAAAATCAATATATGCTAGGCTGACTATTCAGCAACACCAGTCAACTAAGTTTAGATATGCTAGTTTACCAAAAGCGAATTAATCAATTAAACTTAGATTCCTGAAGTGATCCAAATTAACTAAAGTCTAGTTCAATGCTCATAGTAACTCTGATAAACTTAGTCATAAACATAAATCAATTTGCAAACTATAGAAATCATATCACATGCAAATGAACAAGATATGTGAACAAGAAAAACAATCAACAACACACGAAGTTTTTGGCCGAAAAAAAACCCACCTATGGATTAAAAAATCGGGGACTCTACCGAGTCCAATCTGCTAATGGAAATAAGGTTTATACGAATTATCACATCAAGCTCATTTCCTAGACCTAATATAAGGAGCAATTTTACCTTTGTGCAACCTTACTTTGCACGTGATGGAGATGTCTTTAGCCTTCACTAAGAGGCAACTCCAACCTTGAACTCTTCTTCTTGTGGCACCGAGACTGTGACATCCCACATCGCCCAAGGGAATGATCCTTATATGTATATTCTCATCCCTACCTAGTGCGAGGCCTTTTGGGAGCTCACTGGCTTCAGGTTTCATAGGAACTCCGAAGTTAAGCGAGAAGGGGGCTAGAGCAATCCCATGATGGGTGACTCACTGGGAAGTTGCTCTTGAGTTCCCAAAAACAAAACCGTGAGGGAATAAGCCCAAAGCGGACAATATCGTGCTACGGTGGTGGAGCCGGCCCAGGAAGTGGTCCCCCCGGGCCGAGATGTGACAATTTGGTATCAGAGCCTAACCATAGCCGCGTGTGTGCCGACGAGGATGTCGGGCCCCTAAAGGGGGTGGATTGTGACATCCCACATCGCCTAGGGGAGTGATCCTTATATGTATATTCTCATCCCTACCTAGTGTGAGGCCTTTTGGGAGCTCACTGCTTCAGGTTTCGTAGGAACTCCGAAGTTAATCGAGAAGGGGGCTAGAGCAATCCCATGATGGGTGATTCACTGGGAAGTTGCTTGTGAGTTCCCAAAAACAAAACCGTGAGGGAATGGTAAGCCCAAAGCAGACAATATCGTGCTACGGTGGTGGAGCGGGCCCGGGAAGTGATCCCCCATCCCTACCTAGTGCGAGGCCTTTTGGGAGCTCACTAGCTTCGAGTTTTGTAGGAATTCCGAAGTTAAGCGAGAAGGGGGCTAGAGCAATCCCATGATGGGTGACCCACTGGGAAGTTACTCATGAGCTCCCAAAAACAAAACCATGAAGGAATGGTAAGCCCAAAGAGGACAATATCGTGCTACAGTGGTGGAGTGAGCCCGGGAAGTGATTCGCCCCGGGCCGGGATGTGACAATTGGTATCAGAGCCTAACCCTAGCCGCGTGTGTGCCGACGAGGACGTCGGGCCCCTAAGGGGGGTGGATTGTTACATCCCACATCGCCCAGGGGAGTGATCCTTATATGTATATTCTCATCCCTACCTAGTGCGAGGCCGTTTGGGAGCTCACTGGCTTCAGGTTTCGTAGGAACTCCAAAGTTAAGCGAGAAGGGGGCTAGAGCAATCCCATGATGGGTGACCCACTGGGAAGTTGCTTGTGAGTTCCCAAAAACAAAACCATGAGGGAATGGTAAGCCCAAAGTGGACAATATCGTGCTACGGTGGTGGAGCGGGCCGGAGAAGTGATCCGCCCCGAGCCGGGATGTGACAGAGACCAACATGATCAATGCAAATGATATTATGATGATGATAATGTGAAATCTGGATACAAAAGATTAGTCAGTTTCTTCAGTCAAATAGTTGAAGGAAGAAATCAATGTGAATCCGAAAACTAGGTTTAAATGAAGATTTGAAACTTAAGGGACCATGAAAATAGTGCAAACCTATTTCTCAATGATGGGGAATTTTAAGCATGGACATCAGTTTGGCAGAATGGGCTTCAAGTGAAGAATACAAGAGGAAGCTTAAAGCTTTTTAATGTAATCTTAAAAAATCTAAACTTTTTAACCAAAGAGCAAATGATCCCTAGGACCTCTTTTTAAAGAAGGCATGCATGTTTCAAACAAAGAGAACAAAAAGACACGCATCAAGAGCAAAAGCAATGTTTACAGATTTAGGGTGGAAAATTCACTCTCGGAAAAAATGTGTCAGTTGACTCATGTAGGATGTCTTCAAGTGTGTGCCTAATTCGAGTGAAAGCAGTGAGCAATTCTAATGAGACAACACAACTAGACAGAATGAACTGGAAAATTAAACATGAAATGCATATGCATGAACAAACCTTTGAGGAGAGAAACCAAACGATTGAGTGAGTATTTCCAGGAGTATGATCACATAATGACTGTCTTAAAACTAACTAGAGCATGTGTAGTACTATTTACAACATTGACAAGGAAAGTCAAACACTACAATCTAGACTTCACATAAGTGACTACGGTCGTCGAGCTGGAAATTGCAGATAAGAAAGAACCGACTGAAATACCAAATTTCTTTATTAAAATACACTCACAACCTTGACATTGTGTGTTAATTGTCAAGTAATGGCAAGTTCGCACTTGTTTGGATTTTCTCCTTAGTTCATACCGTAAGGAGATACAAATG